TGTGTGTGCGTGTGTGTGTGTGTGTGTGTGTGCGTGTGTGTGTGTGTGTGCGTGTGTGCGTGTGTGTGTGCGTGTGTGTGTGTGTGTGTGTGTGTGTGTGTGTGTGTGTGTGTGCGTGTGTGTGTGCGTGTGTGTGTGTGTGTGCGTGCGTGTGTGTGTGTGTGTGTGTGTGGAGGAGGAGGAGCTTGCCCGCCCTTCCCTTAGGAGAACCACGAGCGGATGAGCGCGACAGCGTACCGGCTCAACTACGAGTGCGTGTACGGAGAGAGCAACCCGGACGCCATCTGGGTGAGCCGGCAGGTCCGCCGCACTTCGGCTACACCTCTCGGCTACACCTCTCGGCTACACCGCTCGGCTACACCTCTCGGCTGCATCTCACGCCATCTGGAGAGCCGGCAGCCATGTCCAGGACCCGTCCATGACGTGTCCGAGACACGTCCCTAGGTCTGCATGACCTTCGAGGAGCTTCTCGCCATCCTCATCCACGAGGCGAGATCGCCCGAGATCGCCCGAGATGAACCGAGATCGCCCGAGACGACCCGAGACGAGCCGAGATGAGCCGAGACGACCCGAGATGACCCGAGATCGCCCGAGATGACCCGAGGTCGCCCGAGATGAGACGAGATCGCCCAAGACGACCCGAGATGACCCCAGATGAGCCGAGATGAGCCGAGATGAGCCGAGATGAGCCGAGATGAGCCGAGATGAGACGCGATGAGCCGAGATCTAGGCGCTGCACGACACGGTGCTGGTGGATGGAGAGTTTCTCTCTGGCGACGAGGCGCGCCGCCCTAGACGCGGAAAGCTACGCATTCCGAATACATGCGCATTCCTGTATCCAGAAAGAGCTCGAGAGGACACGTACTCCGCTGTATTCGGCCGCATTCCGCTGCACTCTCTGTGCTCGTAGCCCGTGTGTGCGCACGGTGCTCCCATAATACTCTGCACATTTGTCCTTCCCGACTTGTCAAGATCACGCACACGACAGCCGAGAACAGGCAGACGACGACAGTCGGACAGCACACTGGGTCCCACGAGGGCGAAAGTGATAGCGGCTCTATGGTGTGAGCTCTAGCTAGTGAGCCCAACGCAGGGTAGTGGTATGTTTCACAAGTGTCACCTGCCGTAGGAGCACGAGTGCATGTTCTTGCTCGGCGACCGCACTTACTGGTGACACGGCCGACGTACCTCGCGGGAGGAAGGGAGGGAGTCCTCCTCCCCTACCACCTCCCCCCTCCCCCCTCCGAACCGTCGTGCGCGCTGCGCTCTCCTCTCCTCTCGCTCTCTAGTTGCATCCTCTGCCGCCAACGACCGGCGACACCTCTACCTACCGGCGCCGTCTCCTGCAGACCCCCCCCCAACCGCCGCCGCCGCCGCCGCCCCTTTCCCCAGCTGCCGAGCTCCTCTGTACACCCCCTGTATTCTGAGTACGCAGGCGCAGCCATGGCGCGCCTCTCTTATCCGTCTGTAGCATATGTGACCACTGCTACGATGCATGCGACACACGCGAACCCCTCCTGGTTTCGCGTGACTCGTCCGAGGCTGGACCGAGCATGCGCCACGCCACGGCATCATCTCCGACATCTCCGCCATGAACCAGCCGCTGGGTGGGATTCGCCTTCCTGCGGAAACCGGGGAAAAATTTCTATAGACGCTGTTGAGCAGTACCGCATTGTGACCTGTGATCGACCGCATCTCTCGCTGTGTGTATGTCACTCGTTTTTCCGTTAGTGCATTTTGTGGACTGTGTGTACCTGTTGTCGACCTGCGTGAACGCGTGTGTGCTGTGAATGAGAATGACTGTGTGTTAGACGCGCGTGCTACCTCTCGTGCCTGCTGCGCGCGGCCCCGGTGGAAACACAAAACGGACACCTCTACTAAGAGATGGGTAAAAAGGAACAGGTCCCGCCCGTGCGATCTTTGTGCAAGGTTCTTTTTGTGGTCGGCCTCGGCGACTAGCCGGGGTCCTCCTCCCGATGGAGGACTAGCACTAGCCGTCTTCCACATGGTCCCTCGGGTCCCTGCGGTGCTCCTAATAATTGGTGTGTAAACCCGGTATCAATTGATTTGTCTTTGTCTAGGTAGGTAGGTAGGTAGAAAGGTGAAGAACAGCCAGGCTCGGACTGGACACCAAGACTCTCAGAAAAAAAAGCCTCGCACGGCGTGTCTATGCCCGCGCCCAGGCCTATTTCCGCTGTGTTTGGCCCAACCCTCTTCGGCAGCCTTTCCCCGCCCCGTCGCCCGCGCGGTGCCACTCCCTTTCCGCGCGCGGCGCCCAGGCCACGGACGGCCCGCCCGGACCACCCCCAAACAGGCACGGCCGATCGCGCAGGTGCTCCGCCGCTGCCTCGTGGCGAGATGCGAACCAGCAAGAAGAAGGAGGACAGCGAAACGAGTGGCTTGAGCGCAACGAGGCAGCGCTTCGTCGACATCTCGCGCTCCGTTCTCTTCATCCAGGCCCGCTTCCGCCACGTCAAGACGGTCTTCCGCGACTTTGGCCCAAGCGTTTTCTGCAACCGCATGGGTGACCCGTGCGACCATGGGGACATCGTCTTTCTCTCGGATCGCGCGGCCAAGTACATCGTCCTGTCCGAGACGTCCTCCACGGGCCTCCTCTCCAAGTTTGTCGAGGGCTTCTGGGGCGTGAGCAAGCCGGAGGTTCTGATCTCGGTCACAGGCGGCGCGCGCGACTTTGAGCTCTCGCCGCCGCTCGCACGTGCCTTCAAGAGCGGGCTCGTCGAGGCGGCGACGTCGTCGCGGGGGTGGATCGTGACGGGCGGCACCGACACCGGCGTGATGAAGCTCGTCGGGGACGCCTGCCTCGAGTCGCACCTCTCCGTGCCCGTCATCGGCATCGCGCCGTGCGCCGCCTCTCGGGGGGGGGGAGGCGCGGTGCGGCGGTCGAGCACCCGCCCCCTTCACACGGCGCCGCGCTGTGACTAGGTACGGCGCCACAAACGGCAACGACAAGCTGGCTGGCCAGTTCCGGCGCGTGGTGTACACCAACGTGCCCTCGCCCTCCAAGGACGGCGCACCGCTGAATGGCGGGCACACTCACTTCCTCCTAGTCGACAGCGGGCTGGCGGGGCGCGGCGCGTGGGGAACAGAGATCAAGCTGCGCTCGCGGCTGGAGAACTTCTACGTGGAGCGCAAGGGCGTCCCGAGGGTGGTCCTCGTGGTCAACGGCGGGCCGGGCACCATGGAGACCGTCCTCGAGGCGGCTCGCGCCTCGTCCCCCATCGTTGTGATTGCCGACTCGGGCGGCGCCGCAAGCGCAATCTCGCGGTACTGCAGCATCTCGCGGGACGCTGGGCGGACGCACAGGGAGTCGATGGCGGGCCTCGCAAAGGACTTCCCCGCCTATGCCAACGACAGGATGGCCGATAAGCTCCTCGAGCTCTCTCAGCTCAACGACGACTGTGGCGGCGAGCTCGCGCCTCCCCCCCCCCCCCCCTCGCCCGCCCCCGCCCCCCTCACGCCGCCGCTGCTGCTCCTGCTGCCATAAACAAGACGACCAGCGACACACCACCGATAGGCAAGCTCGTCACGCTCTTCCGGCTCAAGCAAGGCGACTTCTCCGGCTCCGCGGCGGGCTGCGACATGTCCACATCGCTGCTCGAGGCCATCACCAAGCTCTGGCTCTCCTCCCCCGCCGACGACGCACTCTCGGCCGAGTCATCCTTGCTGAGACGGGGGACCGAAGCGAGGAGCAGCGACGGCAGCGAGCCCTCCTCCTCGAGGGGCCACCCGCACTCGCTCGGCAACTCGCGTAACAATTCGTGGACCAGCATGGACCAGTTCAACCCGAACCGGATGCGCTCGCGCCGCAAGCGTGCCATCCTGCTGGCGGTGCGTTGGGACCGGCGACCGCTCTCTGCAACGAGTCCGCCCCCATCCCCGCCGCCGGCGCCTGCTGAGCCTCCCTTCCGCCCGCGGCGTAGGCCCGACATCCTCGAGCGGATCCTGCAGCAGCAGCAGGAGACGGCGGGCGAGAGTGGCTGGAGCGAGGCGCACACCGCGGCGCTGCAGTTTGCCCTCTCCCTCCACAAGCCAGGCGTGATCAAGCACCTCCTCGAGGCGTCGCAGCAGACCATCTCGCTCAAGGACGTCAACCTCCTGGATCTCTACGGCAACGTCGACGGGCTCGGCTACCTCGCCTCGCAGCCCGCGCTGCAGAAGGTCCTCGTCAGCTCGCTCACCGCGCCCCCGCCCGCCCGGAAGGGAAAGAAGGCGCGCTCGCGGCCGCACGACACGTACAAGGATTCGATCGCACCGTGGTTGGGTTCCACCTTCGCCGTCGAGCTGCAGCGCGACGCGGACCTGTCCAGCGAGCCGACGTACGCGCAGCTCTTTTACTGGGCGGTCCTCTCCGGCGACTGGGCGATGGCGCGCCTCTTTTGGAGCCGCTGCTCGGACCCGACTCGGACGGCGCTCGTCGGGTCGCACATCTGCCGCCGCATGGTGGCGCACGGCGTGTCGCAGGCGGCGGCGGTACGCGAGCACGCCACCAAGCTCGAGGAGATGGCCATCGGCATCATCGACGCCGCCGAGACGCCGGCGGAGGCGGCGGCGGTGCTCGCGCACAAGGACGGCAAGATGTCGGTCCTCGACCTCGCGCTCAAGTTCGAGATGAAGCGCTTCCTCACCAACCCAAACTGCCGCGCCATCATGGACAAGTGGTGGTCCAACGGCGACAGCGGCGGCGGCGGCGGCGGCGGCGGCGGCGGCGGCGGCGTCTCTCCCGCTGCGGAGGTTGGCTCGCTGCGGCTGCTGATGCACGCCGTGCTGCCCTTCACCAACCCGTACTACATCGCGATGGCCCGCGAGGCGGTCGCCTCGTGCCTGGGCCGCCGCAGCCCCAACGAGTCCGGGCCCAAGCTGCACAGCGGGTTGACGAGGGAGGCATCGGCTCTCCTCAACAGGGCGCGGGCGACCATCGCAGGCATGGACTCGATGAGGATCGGGCAGGCGGAGCGCGAGCATGCCCTCAAAGACCCGCCCCTGACCGCGTCGCCGACAGCCGGCTCCCGCAAGTTTACGACGATAAGCGGGGCCGTGCAGGCCGTGCAGGTCGCGGCGCGCTTCTCCAACTCGACCGAGCGGAGCGCGAGCAAGGAGGAGGATGCCAAAGAGGCGGCAGCCGTCATGGCATCACCGACCTCCTTCTCGGCCGCCACGCCAGCCGCTCTGGCCGGCACAAAGCCGCTGGGCCGACCTTTGGTTCATACGAGTCGGTCCGCCTCTGCCACCCCAGGTGGCCCCTCGAGCGAGCGAGCGCGAGCAATCATCGCGACGCAACGGAACCTCCGAGACCGGGCACACGACAAGCGTAGCGAGGCGAAGCGGACGCAGGAAAACGGCTTCTACTCGGTCCCGGGCGTCGTTTCCATCCTTCGGCTCGCCTCGCACTTCGCCTTCCTCGCGCTATACGCGCACACGCTCTCCCAGCTCGACCCGTCGGGAGGGGCTCTGGGCGATAGCCCGGGAGAGGGCGCCTTCGGAGGGGCTGAGCAGAGGCCGCCGCTCTCCCGCAGCGAGGCGAGCTTCCTGCTGTGGGCCGTCTCCATCACGCTCGACGACGTCGTCAACGACTTTGACCCGGACCTCGAGAACATGGTGCCCCTCGCGTGCTCGCGTGCTACACACACACGCACGCACGCACGCACATACACACACACGCACGCACGCATGCACGCACGCACGCACACACGCACACTTCTCGCGCACACAGGATAGCACAACTTCTCCGCTGTCCTCGCGCCGCAGGAGCCCGCCAGCGGGACAGTCGCGAAGATCGGCGACGCGCTGCTCTTCGTCGCCGCGCTCGCTCGCGCTGGGCCCGGCCCGTGGTCTCGCTCGCGCTACGAGGTCTACGCCGCGCTCCTCTCGGTCACCGTCATCCCCGTCACGCTCCGGCTCGCACAGCTCTCTGGGGCTGGCTGCGCGCAGCGAGAGCCGCCCTCTCACCCACGGCCGTGTGCGTTTGCCCGCAGGCTCGTCGAGTACCGGGCCGCTCTCTCGCCCAAGATCGGCGTCCTCTTCATCATCATCAAGAAGATGTCTGCCGACCTGCTCGTCTTCGCCGAGATCTTCGCCGTCGTCCTCGTCGGCTTCGCTCTCGCCTTCGTCGGCGTCTTTCAGATGCACCCGCCCGCCGACGCCGGCCGGCGATCCCTCGGCATGGCGAGCTCCGACGAGCTGCTCTTCGGCGCCTCGGAGCTCGACGACGTCTTCGGCCCAAAATCGCCGATCATGACCCCCTTCTGGCGGGCTCCGCTCTTGCCTCCGCCCCTCCGCCTCGGCCACCCCGACCCGCCACCCCGTTCCTCCGCAGGGCCGTCTTTGGCGCCTTCGAGGTGGACGACCTCATCGACGTGCCGGCGATGTACCCCTTCCTCCTCTGGACGTATGTGAGCGCGAGCTGTTTGCGCGGGCGGCCGGCCGCGAGACCCGCAGCTCACAGAAGGCCGCTTCCCGCCCCCGTCAGGTGCTCGTCAGCTCGGTCGTCATGGTCAACCTGCTCGTCGCTATGTTCTCCGACACGTACACAAAGGCCGCGCGCCGTCGCCCGTGCGCGGCGCCGAGTTCCGGTACGCTGGCCTCAGGCTCGTGTGTCTCAACAGGTCTTCTCGGGGGCCGAGGAGGAGTTCCGCTACCAGCGCTACCAGCGCATTTTCCTCTGCAAGCACGTCTTCAACCCGATCCCGCCCCCCTTCAACATGCCCATCCACGTATTCGCCATGCTGCGCCTGTGCTCGGGCCTCCTCTCGCGCGCATGCTCGGGCCTACTCCCGCGCAGCGAGCAAGCGACCTCCCGCGGCTTGGAGGGCGTCACCCCGGAACCCTCTCTCTCTCTTCGACGCTCGAGCGCCTCGCAGCACGCGTGGTACGGGACAGATGCGGACGGGGGCCTAGACCAGGCCCCCCTGCCCGCCGAGGCCAAGCGGCTGCAGAAGCGCTTCTCGGACGGCGAGGCCGCCAAGCGGAGGTGTGCTGCCCCATCTTCCCGTGTAGAGGCCCCGCCCTTCCTCCAGCCTGCGCACATCTCTCCCTCGCCGCCCTATCGGCGCAGGCAAGACGACCTGCTCACCGAGATCCGCGCCGTGGTGCAGAGCGGCACCGCGGAGCAGCGCCGCCGGCTGGAGGCGCCGCCCGCGGCCTGGCCACCAGTAGCCACCTAGTTTGCTCAGCGAGGGAGGGCCGAGGCTGCGGCCCTAGCCGCCTCGCTCGTGCCTGCTCACCTCCACTCGCGGCCCGCGCAACCAGGCGCTCGGCGACCAGATCCGGGGCACGCAGCAGTCGCACGCGGAGGACCTCCGGCGCATCAAGAACGAGCTGCGCGGCGAAGAAAGCGGTCTCGCCGGCAGCAGTGATCGTCGCAGCAACTGCAGTGTTAGCAGCGACATCACCCCGCCGCTGCCTTCGCCAAAGGCGCCCTCTACGTTTCCCGCTCCGAGCCCCCTCTCTGAGCCTCTCGCGCTGCCAACGGCGGCCGACTTGGCGCTGGACCTGGGAGAGGTGAGCAACGACAGGCCGGATAGCGCCGCCGCCAGCTCGACCGCCAACCACGCTGCAGTCGACACCCCGGACGCGCCGCCGCTTCTAGCGGGCGACAACAGCCTCGAGACACGCCGGGCGAAGCACAAGCGAGGATTCGCTGCGAAGCTCAAGCTGTCTGGGCGGTAGTCACGCCGCGAGCTACCAGACGGACCGCCGCCTTAGGAGGGCGAGGTCGGGAGAACCCGAAAGGGCAGTGGGCGCGGGGCGCGGAGCGAGACTCTCTTGGTACAGCTGTCGTGCGCCGCGGGAATGCCCCATGTGGGGCCAGGAAGGGGGGAGCGAGGAGAGGACAGAAGTGGACGAACGCTAAGCTAGTAGCTACGCGGCGGAGGGAGGAGGTGTCCCCTGTGTGTGTGCCATGTGCGTGTGCCAGGCGGCCGGCCATGCCGCCGGCGCACGCAAGAGAGAGAGGGAGAGGGAGGGGGAGAGAGAGAGAGGGAGAGGGAGGGAGGGAGAGAGAGAGAGAGAGAGAGAGAGAGAGTGAGAGAGAAAGAGTGAAGTAATATATCTTTACTTCCAACACCCGGACGTTCCCAGGGCGAGCAGGGTGGATCTGGATGGACACAAGGTTCGACGCACCCCCCGGGACTGGGGAGAGAGGTCCCAGGAAACTGATCGATGCCATCGGCAGGGAGGACGCGTGCGTGAAGCAAAGGAGCGCGGCGAACGCCAGCATCGAGGGGATTGAGAGCGTGATGTAGTGAAGCGACATAAAATCGAGCAGAAAAGCAATGTGACAAGTCCAGCCAGGACACACAAGACAGGTCTTGGACGAGGCGCTGTGGGTGTGGAAGTGTGAACGTCTGCGCTGTGGGGGAGTTATGCCCCGGGAACAGCCCCTCCTGGCCAGAGCACGGGGGTGCGAGGGACACAACACAGTGAAAGGGGGGACTTACTACTGCCCCTAGAGCGCAACTGACGTGATCATGCAAAGGTGTCGAGCTGCTTGATCAGCTCGACAAAGACGGCGCGAGAGGCAGCCTTGGTGAGGATGTCGGCGAGCATCACAGCGCCGGGGAGGTGCTCGACAGAGACGACCTCGCGTGCGACAAGGTCACGGAGGAACTCGGCGGCGCGCAGGATGTGCTTGGTCTTCTTGAATGCGACGGGGTCGAAGGCCATGCCGACGGCGGACTTGGAGTCGCACTTGATGAGACGCTGGGGGCGTCGACAGGGATGCCGAGGTCGATCAGCAGCTCGCGGATGAAGATAACTTCCTTGGCGGCTAGCATGGTGCCGAAGAACTCGGCCTCTCGGCGCTGGAAAGGGTGACGGAGCGCTGCATCTTGGAGAACCAATGAAACAGGCACCCGTAGTAGAAGAACATCCCACCGGAACACTCGAAAACTTGGTCGCCCAGCTCGAGTCGACAAAGCTCTCGAGGCCACGGACGGGATCAGGGCGCATGACAAGAGCGCGGCCAGCGGTGTCGCGCAAGTAGACGAGGACGCGAATCGCAGCCTTAAAGTGCGACGGGCCGGGGTTGGTCATGAAGCGAGCGAGCTGCGAGGCGGAGTAGGCGATGTCGACGCGCGTCATATTCGCAAGCCAAAGGAGCCCGCCGACGATGGCCATGTACGCATCGCGAAATTTGGACATCTCGTCGTACTCGACGGAGCCGAGAACGGGCTGATCGGCGGGAGAGAGCTCGAGGCCTTCCTCAATCGGCGAGTCGAAGTGGCGCGAGCGCGAGCGATCGAAGTACGACTCGAACTTTGCGACGAGGTCGGCGGTGTAGAGGTCCTGAGACAAGGTCAGAGAACGAGCAGCGTGGTTGCGAGTGATGGCGGTGTTTAGGATCCACTCGAGCTCGCCCTTGTCCTCGGTTGGGAAGCGTCGCGAGATGTCGGCAACAAAGCGCGCACGTAAGTTGGGGCAGTTGTCGGCGAGGAGAATGTCGTCGACATAGACGAGAGCCCACAAGACGGTGCCGTCCTTCTCGTAGGTGTAGAGGCAGACGTCGATGGTCGAGCGCACAAAGCCCCACGACACGAGGAAGGAAGAGAGGAGCTGAGCCCATTCGCGACCAGCCTGCTTGAGCCCGTAGAGGCTGCGGCGTAGCTTGCATACGAGCTCTCCGCCGCGGTTGTTGACGCCCCGGGCGGGGCGCGCATGTAGAGATCCTCATCGAGGGCGGCCTGAAGGTAGGCCTGGCGAATGTCGAGGGAGCTGAGGTTGTAGTCACGCGCGGCAGCAATGGCGAGAACGAGCCGGATGGTGAGAGCCTTGACAACAGTGGCGAAGACGCGGTCAAAGTCAACACCAAAGCATGCTTCTGCGTGTTTCCGTCGGCGACGAGGCGTGCCTTGAACTTGTCGATGGACCCGTCGGCCTTCCGCTTGATGGCAAAAACGAAGTGGCAATGCATTACGTTGGCGCTGGCAGGCACGGAGGCGAGAGGAACGAGGTCCCACGTCTTGAGAGCAACGAGGCCGGCGAGCTCCTTGGTCCCCCTCTCGCTCTGCAGCCGCTCGCTCCGTGTCATCGTCGGCCGACTCGCCTGTCACCGCGGCCACCCGAGCGAGCGCGTCGAATTCAGACGCGGCGGCGAGCACGGCGGCGAGGGCTGCCGGGAGGGACGAGCGACGGGTGCCGCGCCGCGCTCGCGGCAGACTGAGGCGGCTCAGCGTGTCGGTCAGCGTGCCGAGCAGTGGCTGTGGTGGCCAGGGCGGCAACCCACCGTCTGCGCCTCCGTAATCTGGCAGGCGGCCGGCCGCGAGGGCATGGCGCCAGACGGTGAGCCCCTCAGTCAGCCGCAGCGTTGATCTCGTAAAGGGCAGGCGGAAATGTTTAGCCTGGTGATGAGCGGATCGATGGCAAGGTTGGGGGCCGTTGTCGACGATACGGCGAGGCTCACGAATGTCCCGGCAAAAAAAGAAAAGAAATACCCTTCCGCCCGCCGAATCTGGGCGCCTTCGTGCCGCGAGCTAGCTCGTGCCGAATCTGGGCGCCTTCGTGCCTTCTCCGCATCGCCTGCTCTGGCTAGCGCTGGCCAGCGCTGATGCCTGAACTGGCTACCTCCGCGGCCGAGCGCGCGGTCCTGACCTGGCTACTTCCGCGGCAGACCTGGCTACTTCCGCGGTCCTCCTGCCCCACGCTCCGCATCGGCCGCAAGCGCTCGTGGCTGCTCTGGCTGCTCTGGCCGACCGCCGGCGTTGCTGCCCAGCCCAGCCCTGACGGCCCAGCCTGGAGGGAGTCAAGGATCTTTCCGGAGCGCTACTCGCCGACGACCGACGTCGTGTCCTTTTCGTCCGCGGCGTGGCCGACGCAGATCTCTCACCCATTCGGGTGGTCAGGGCTATGGCACGGAGAGCCGCAAGATAACTTCCCCGAAGTATATTGTGGCGGCGAATATGGGTGTAAGAATTTATCTGGCTCGGACCCAACGGTACCGTTCCTGTCTGATTCGGGCCCATTACGTTGGCCGCCGAAGGGCGTTGCAGGACTCAACTCGATCGTGCTGCTGCAGCACACGTGCATGCTTGGCGACACGGACGAGGCCAAAAATTGCTACCTCCCGCTCGACCAACCATGGCTAACGCCATCCAACCAAATGGATACACCTTCGAGTCCGCGCATCTTTGAGTCCGCGCGATACACCTTCGTCCGAAAGGCCGGGCCTACTGATAAGTGCATCTGGGGGGGCTTTGATAACTGGGCCTCGACCATGTGCGGACGAGGGAAGAACAACAGCTGGCGGTCGGAAGGTGCCGTTTGCAACCCCATGGGCGTTTGGGTCTCTTACGGTGCCTGGTACCACATGGCGGACTTGCTTTATCCCGAAGACTGCCGATGGACAATCACCACCAGCAGCAACGCCGCGAAATTCATCCGCGAAGTCGAGCCCCGCAAAAACGACCTCTACGAGTCTTACGACTACAGCTTTGAGGTGTGTCAAAAGCGAGGGGACTGCACGCCCGATGACGCTAACTGCATCAACACGTACTCGGCGGTGGCCCTCAGCGACATCGACGCGAAATCGTTGCTTGTATACGGGAGTGAAAACAGTTGGCTCGTGGGAGGTGCAAAATGGGAGGACAAAATACCCTTTCCGCCAGGTCAATACCCAGAGATGGGGTCGGGCCGGATCGAAGCGGTCTATGCAACCGCTGCCAATGGCCCCCATCTCCCGTGCCCGGTTGATGATGCTGGGCAGCAGGTGCCTTGCGGCGTGCCGCCGGCTCAAAGTCCCGGCCAGCCGCTCTTGATTTTTGAGCCAGAGCAGGACCTGGTCATCCACATCTCGCGGCTGAAGGTCAACGCGGTCAAGGCGGTCTCTTCGGCACAGTTCACCGTCGTCGTCGAGGTCACTTTGACCTGGACTAGCAAGTACGCTGTCCACCCTTGCGGCATCGATCTGTACCGCGGCGTCGTCGCTGGCGAGGCCGTCGTCCCGGCAAAAGACTGGTGGAGACCAGTTGTCAAGCCCGACGGCGCCATTTCTAGCGAGGAGAGCTTTGTGTCCGGCAACCCGATGCTGCAAGTGCATAGGACGGCGGGCAACGCGACTCACGAGCCGGAGCCCGTCACGCGGCCGTGCACGCAGGAGTCGTGCCCGTGGCGGGCGCAGGTCTACCTGCAGGAGCACGTGGGGCTCGAGATGACATTCGTATCGGACTTCAACCTCAACCGTAACCCTCCCCTCCTCTCCCGCCGCCGCCCCTTCCCCCACCGCACCCAAACGCCTCCCGTTGGCCGTCCGTAGGCTTCCCCTTCGACACGCAGGTCTTGAAAGGGTCCTTCTTCCTCGCGGACAAGTTTGGCCCTGGAATGGCCCGCCGCACCTCGTTCAACTTCGACTCGCCGGGCTTCTCCGACGCTGGGCTCGACGGGGACGACCTCGAGGGAATCTACACCAAGCGCGACTGGACGCCGCGCTTGGCTGTGATCCGGCCGTCCTCTTCGTCCAGCCCGGGCGCCAATTGCCGCAAGCAGCGACTCTCGCACTTGTGCGCCGACTTCGAGATACACCTGGAGCGGGTGGCCGTCGGCAACGTCTTCAGGGTCCTCGTGCCCGCCTTTGTCCAGATGGGCCTGACCACGCTCGCGGCGCTGCAGCCCGCCGCGACGCGGCTGCAGGTGCTCGCGCTGGGCGCTATCGCCACCGCGGCGCTGCTGCAGCCGCGAAGCCTCGGCCTGCCCGCCGACACCGAGGGAGTCCCGTTCGTGATGGCGCTCACCATTTGCCAACTCGCCGTCGTCGGCCTCATGCTCGTCGTCACGGGCTACCAGCTCGTGCTCACCGCCGGAGTCGACCGCCGCACCGCCGAACTCTGCTCCGAGCGCCGCGCCGCCCTCGTTGGCGAGTGGAAGGCGGCCTTCGTGGCGAAGCGGGCGCTCGAGGAGCAGCTTCCCGGCGGCGCGCAGCAGCCGGCGGCGCCCGCAGACGTCTCGCTGAGCCTCACTACCGGCGAGCCGCTCGGGGCGGGCAAGGAGCCAGCTGGCAGCCCGCCGGACGAGCCCGTCTCGCTGCTCACGCGGGCGGTGCTCGCGCTGCCCGCGCTCATGCACCACGCCAGCCAATCTACGCTCCCCAAGCCGACGGATCCAAACGGGGAGGGGTCGATGGGCGGCTCGGACTGGATCCGCGCGGAGGACAAGGCGCTCGTCCGCAAGTCTGCAAAGATCGACGCGTGGATGGCGCTGATGCTGCCCCCGCTCTACATTCTCCTCACTAGCCTGCTGCTGGGCTTGTACTGGAGCGGCGCCATGGACCGGTGAGAGAGTGCCAGCTCCTCTCTCCGCGCGGAACAGCGGGCTCTTCTCCACGTTGCCAGTCCTTTAGTTCTCGGGCTTGGCCGCTGGAGAGCGCTACTAGTCGATCGACACAGTCGATTTACCCAGGGTCAAGCCCAAAAGCCCGCGCGCGATCTCTCTAGTCTGTCTAGGTACGAATAGAGCTCCGTGTTACGGTGTACGGTTTTACTCTCTGTACCCCCACTCTGTAGGTGCGTATACCCCCTCTCCCCTCTGTACAGTTACTATTTCACGAGCTCAAGAGAGAGCTCAAGAGAGAAGCCGCTCATTTACACAGTGCTTTCTCACCGTTTCACGGCTTCTGCAATGCCGCTACGCTCTACGCAGGCCGCTCGACCCACGACGCACCGCACGAGCATCCAGCAGCAGCACGGCAATCCTGGCGAGGTTGACACTCAGGGTGCATCCACATTTGCTCCCGCCCGCCCGCCGCAGGGATGTCTAGACAGCTTGTGTCTCTTCAGCTCGTGGGGTGTCATGCACGAGCGTCTCAAGCGGCTTGAGGACGACCTCAACGCCGTCTGCCTCTGGAAGGACGATGGCGTCAGCTGCAGGCCCCTCGGGCTCTGCAGCATCTTCACGCGCTCAGCCGAACGGTGCATCGCGCTCCAGGAGCGCGACTGGGCGGAGCAGTTCTGCACCACGCAGCTGCCTGGGGTTGCCAAGGCCAGGGCGGTCGCACTCGAGGACGCCACCATCACCACCGCCACCGCAGAAGCCGCGTACACTTCGAGGTGTGCATCACGCACAGGCTCGACTCGGCCGAGGTGACGGCCGCTCTTGCCGACCTCGAGGCGGCTGAGGCGGCGGAGGAGCGCGCCCGTGCGCCTGTCAACTTCCCGAAGAGCTACGCGTTCTCCAAGAACGGCACTCACCTGTACGCCCACACGTTGCGGGGTGGCACGGCACGAAGCCGGAGAACGCGACCATCTCGGAGAACTTCTACAACACGATCGCGCAGGCGCTCACGGCCGACAACAAGCCTGACCCCAACGGCTGTGGGCGCGTCAAGCTCTACGACTGGATCCGCAAGCGACGCCCTGACCTCCTACCCGTCGCTCGCCTCATCATGGGCACGCCCAGCTTCATCCGCCTCGTCAAGGCCGAGGGCGCCTTGCGGCTGCCATCCGCCGACGGCGATGACCTGGGCTTCTCCGCCGCCGATTGGGACCCGCTCTCCCTCGAGTGCCCCGACTACAACGACCCCAGCTACGCCAAGTCCGCCTGCGGGGTCATCCAGGGACGTGCGCTGTCCACCATCCTCAGCGTCTGCTTCCTCCACGAGATGCATCTGCCACGCCACGACAACCCGACCATGCGCCTCATCGGTTTTGCGGACGACATCTGCCAGAACGACGAGCCCTCGCGCGCCGTCGCCGCCTACTCCGGACCAAAGGGCCTCCTCGAGGCGCAGATGAAGGGAGCGAGCGTCTTCGACGGCGTCAGCAAGTCGCTCGTCTACTCGCCCGAGGGCGACCTCTCGTGCGCGCCGGGCTGGCTCCGGGGCTCGCCCGCGCACCGCGACAAGGAGGGCAAACCCACGGGGCGAGTGGACTGCTTCAAGGCCGTCGGCACCTTCTTTGGTGACCCTGAAGCCTGCAAAAAGGAGCTCACCGCGCACCTCAGGAAGAAGCTCGCGCCGCTCGACGTCATCGACACGATCGTCGACACTGACTGCGTCACGAACACCTCGCAGCTCCGCCTCAACCTCGTCCAACGGATTGCCTGCGCAAAGACCAAGTACATTGCCGGCATCACGCCGCCCAATGTCGCGTGCGAGGCTCTCGAGTTTGCACAACCGCATCCGCAAGTCTTTTGAGAGCATTGCTCGCGCCGACGCCTCGCCCCAGGCGCTCCGCAACCTCGCGTGGCTCCAGGCGCAGCTGCCGACCGAGATGGGCGGGTGCAACATCGACACCGCCTTCTCGCGAGCCGACAGCGACTTCTCCATGTCGCTCCTCAAGAACTGGCGCACCCTCGTCGCCCACAACCCCGACTTCGCCCTCGACGAGGCAGGTGCGTCCAAGTACCCCGCCATCGCCGCAGCTATCGCCACCTACGAGTCCGCCCTCTCGGACTGGAAGGAGGTGTGCGAGAAGCGCACCGCCCGCGACAAAAACAAGTACTACACCGTCCGCGGCGGCTACCTGACTGAGTTCTACCCCAAGAGCGTCCCGCTCCCCGAGCCCGAGTCCCTTCCAGCTACCGACGCGATTCTCAATGGCACTTGCAAATCCACGTACCCGCGGCCGCGGGCGCTCGCTGCCATCAAGAATCACAAGGACTGGTTCGCGCACCAGGAGCTCGTCAAGGCGCGGGATGTGCACGTCAAGAACAACCCGTCCCTCGGAGACAGCGCCGTCAAGACCGACCTCGTTGTACGCGCCGGTCGTGCACGGTGACAAGGAGAAACCGGAGCTCACCCGGCAGTACAACGAGGGGTACAAGACCAACCTCGCAGAACCCCATGCAGGGTCACTCTCTCATCTCCACGCTACAGCTCACGATAGCCGCGGCGAGTTCTTCTGCCATTGCGAGTGCCTCGGCTGCCCTCTTGGCTGCCTCCGCCGCCCTCGCGTTTGCCTCTCGCGAATCCGCCGCACATACTCCGCCGCCTCCGCGATCTTGCCGGCCTGTACGAGTGAGGACTTGTAGCGGTTCTCTGGCGGCCGGTGACCCAGCCATGCGCAAACTGATCCATCGAGTTGGTTGGTGACATCCTACAAGCATTACAAGCTACGGTAGGTAGTCAAGGGCGGGATGGAAGGACAGCATAGGCCGGAGAGCACAGCCTGCTCCAGGAGGTGGTCGCATTGCAGCTTGGTCGCGTCGACGAGCACACCTGTGTTTTGGGGGTTTCTCTGTACTCTGCCGAACTGCCGATTCGTGTTTTGCCGATTTGCGGGGTTTTTGCTTTTTGGATTTCTTGATTCTTTTTTATTTATTTCGAGAAAACACCACAGCACACATGGGTGTCCTACCGTTATAATTCCTTATGCCTAGATACCCACCCTGGAAAACCAAGATCAGGCGCTAATAAATACTCTAGTGTGCGGCCCGCTCGCGGCGCCCCGCGGGGCGCGTCCACCGTCAGCGCTTGCCAAAGATGGCCACGTAGAGCAGCGGAAGGTGGTATATAATCAGCCCGAGCGCAAAGAGCGCCACCACAGGGAGGCCGTACTTGAACGAGGCCGGCAACGCGGGGTCCGCCGCCGACACGAGCTCGACCTCAAAGGTGAGCGTCGCGTTGGGCGGGATCGGGCCGGCGCCGGAGCTGCCATAGCTGCGAGCAGGGCGTGGGGCGTCCGTGGACGCGCTGATTTGCGAGGGACCGAGAGGCCGACGCGCCGCAGCCGCCACCAACTCACGCGCCGCCGCCGCCTCCCGCGCCGCCTCCTGCGCCCCATACCCCATATCTCGGCTGGGCGACTGTCGCTGGGAGAGGCGCAGCAACGCACCCGAACTCTGGCGGTATCGTGAGCACGGCCGCCTCGCCCACCTGCATCGACGAGACACCCAAGTCCCAACCGGGGATCACCTCCCCCATGCCGAGCGTGAAATCGATCGGCTTTCCGCGGCTGCGGCTGCTATCGAAGACGGAGCCGTCCGCAAGGCTGCCGGTGTAGTGGACCTCGACGCTCTGACCCTCACTGGGACACTCGCCAGTGCCCGCGCGCACCACCCGCTTGGTCAAGCCGGGGCGGAGGGTGACGGTGGCCATAGCTGTTCCGTCGTGTCCCCCCTCGGCTCGGCTGGTCCTCGTGTGCGGCGAGTAGAGGCACAGCACGCTCTCTCGAGGTCTCTTGGAGCAGAGCGCGGGCGAGTCCTCGAAAGAGCTACCCAATGGGTCCTCGGAGAGGGTACCCTGGGTGGGCGGGGCCTCTACTCGCCAGCTCGGTGTGTAACTCGGCTTGGAGGCGAAAAGAATTTTACAACCAAAGTCTCTCGCACACGCAAAAACAAACAACACATGGAATCAAGCTCTGGACGCCCCTCCTCAAGACCTCCTCGCCGGGCGTTGGCAACGCCTCGAGTGGCGGCACGCCCGCCTCCGTTGGCCACTCCTACGCCTTTGGTAACACCGAAGAGAAGGCCCGCCGCCTAAACATGGGCTGCAAGGCGCGCGGGCAGCCCGGCCAACCCTTCTCCCACAAGACCGGCCACGGCTACGTCAAGGCGCATCGCGGTTTCTACCACGACGCGATCTTTGTCAAGCGCAACAACTTCAACCTGCTGCTCCACGAGACGTTCGGCGGCGGCTTCTCGCCCACCGCCGTTCTCAAACTGCGCCGCCTCGCGCGCAAAGTCGCGCGCGGCAGCGTCGACCGCACGGCCTACTGGCGAGTGCCGCGTCGTCAAGATCACCGACGACCTCATGCCCGCCGATTTCTTGACGAAATGGGTCCCCAAGGAGAAGCTCAAGCGCAGCGTCGACCACGCCTCCAACGCGCGAGCTCGCGCGGTGCATGGGGGGAACTGATCAATGCCGCCTCTGCGGGCCGATCCCGCCCAGCGACATTGGGGGGGGTGCGGTAGGTAGACATTCTACCTCCCATCCAACCCACCGAAACCCGTGTGGATGGGTTTTACCGCCGCCTTTTACCATCCATAGCCGTCGGGTTTTACCTCGCGTTCTCTTGGTATCGTCTATGGTTTGCTAGACCCATGAGACCATCCTCACCGCGCTATCGGGCGCCTCCACCGCCGCCCTCAGCCACGCCGCTACGACCGTCGGAGGCGTCAACTCCGCCGTCACAAGCTGGCTCCGTTCCGTGAGACCGACCACGCCGTTCTCCGATTCTGTACCTCTGCTATCGATGTTCGCGACATGGTTCGTCGAAGTGTGGACAGCGGCTGAATCGCTCGCAAAAGAAAGTGCGGCAAATATCGCTAATATCGCAAGATGAGCCAAATGAGCAGCCGATCCGAGGTGGGTGCCGACCTTCGCCGCGTGCAGGACGGGGCGAGAGACGCGCCGCCCGCGAAGCGCGCCCGCGGCGACGAGCCAGAGCCGGCGGCGCACACCAGCGAGGCCACGAGCCCGCACCGCGTCCCGTCGGAGCTCATGTCGGCGGTCCCTGCTGGAGAAGAGAGGGGGGCGGCGGGCGCGCGGCAGCTGCGTCTGGTGTGCCTTCTCGAGAGCCTGGTTGAGCGGTGCGAGCCCCCCTACCCCAAAGGTGGGCGGCAGACGTGGGCGGGCACCGACGTGGAGCGACGCCTCCTGCTTCACGCGTTCGCTCGCCTTGCCCAGTCCGTGCAAACCTGCGAAATCGAAGCGCACGCGCTGTGGTTCGACAAGGCAGAGCGGCTCGGCAGGGTGCTCATGCTCACTTCGCGTGCCCTTGGCGCCGAGGAGGCGTGCGCTGCGCTGGCGACGGCGTGCGGACAGACGCCAAAGGCGCGCTGGTACGCAACCACGTTTTCCCGTTTCGCCGCCTGCTTCGTCGCCCTGCACCCGGGCCACGCGTGCGAGCGCGGACAGCGCAGAGACGGCACGCAGGGCGCAGCTGCAATGTCTTGGTCCCATCTCTACAGCATGTTTGGCATAGCCGCAGGGTCGCGGGGCGAGCCTGCAAAGCTGGCTGCATACGTCTGGGCGGCCGCGGACCACATTGCCAGCCGCGTGGACGCGGAGCGGAGGCTGAGCGAGGACGCGGAGGGAGGCGAGATGGCACCGGCGGGGCTGCTCGCGCGCCAGCGCAGCGCCGTCGCGGGCGCCGACTTTGACTCCGCGGTGGCCGAGGGCGGCGGCGTCGACGAGCTCCTGCTGCTTGTCGGCCGGGCGCCGCACGGGCAGCACTCCAAGCTCGCGCCGGTGCTCTCGCCTCCCGCCTTTCGATTCATACGGCCGCAACTCCAGAGGGAGGGGTGCTCCTTGCCCAATAGGCCTTCCTGTCGGCGCTGCAGCAGCTGCTGCTGCCTCCCGAGGCGGCGCCTCCGATCATCGCGCAGATGCCCGCAGCCTTTGCGGGGGCCTTAGCCGGGCACTTGGAGGAGCAGCTGCGGTCCGCGGCTTGCGCGCTCCCGCCGCACGAGCTCGAGGCGGTGCTGCTGCTGGGAGAGGAGCCCCAGCGGCCCATGCCCGAGCCGCCCCTGTCTGCAGAGGCGGCCTCCCTCGCCTCCACCCTGCGCGCTCTCGCCGTGGCCGGAGGCCGCCAGCGCGACGGCTCCGCAGAGGGCCGGGTGCTCTGCAGCCAAGCGCTGGCCGCGTGCCGCACTCTTCTGCTGACGCGGCGGCTCGAGGCTTGTGCCACGGTGCGGCTCTTTAGATGTAGAGATGGAGCCCCTCGCCTCCCTCCTCTCGCCCCACGCCCGCTCACCCGACAGTCACCGCTCTGGTCGTGACGCCGACTGCTGCGGCCTGCGCGGGAGACTCTCGCTAAGCACACACAAGTGCGGACTCCGACATCTCAGCGCACCGACACCAGCCCGCCGCGCCCGCCGCGTAGCACGAGGGACCAGCCCCGCCGCGCCCGCGCCACGCACGCAGCGCTCTCCACGCTCGAGCGACTCGCCCCACGCGTGCCCTCCCATCCACCCCCACACACGCGTAGCTACGGCGACGCGCCTCTCGCACGCTCCCACACACACGCGCCGCCGCCCGAAACACGCCTCATGCCCACTTCCCCACCCGTCGCGTTGCGCGAAAGACCAGCCCCGCCGCGCCCGCGCCACGCACGCAGCGCTCTCCACGCTCGAGCGACTCGCCCCGCGCGTGCCCCACCGACCCCACGCACGCAGCCCTGACACACGCTCGAGCACCTCGCCACCGCCCGCACGAGACGCGTCGCGTACGCCACTGCCCGGCCACCCCCGTGTCGCCCGCGCCACGCATATGCAGCTCTCTCTCTCTCTCGCCCCGCGAGACCTCCACACCCACGCGTGCACCGGTCCCCACCCCCCACCCGCACCACCACACGCACACAGCGGCATGGAGAGACTCGGAGAAACCAGCGGCATGGAGCGACTCGCCGAGACTCGCCGAGATTCGCCGAGGCTTGCCGAGAGGAGTCGTGATGAGCCGAGTGGAGGAGGGACGTGCAGAGAGGAGCCGAGAGCCGAGAGAGTCGAGACACACAGAGAGGTGACCGAGAGAGGCCGAGGGGGAGCTCTGAGCAGAGGCGGCAGAGACGCGGAGCCGGGACGCGCAGAGAAGGAGCCGAGGCGAGTCGAGGGGAGTGGGGGGGGGGGGGGCGGGAGGGTAGGGGGCAGGAGACACTAGCCCGGAGGGAGGCCGAGAGGGAGCCGTAGAGGAGACGAGAGGAGCCGGGAGGAGCCGGGAGGAGCCGAGAGGAGCCGAGAGGAGTCGAGAGGAGCCGAGAGGAGACCGAGTGCGAGCATACCCAGAACCCTCCAAGTCCAACCCACCCCCACGCGTCTCTGCGCAACATGTGTGCTCGTCCGGGACATCTCTCGTGCCTCGTGCTGCGCCTGGGCGTCGTGTGCCGGGCTTGCACGCCTTCCCCGCGCCACGCACACGCATATCTCCCCCGCCGCGCGCGTGCCTCACCTCCCCGCACCTCCCTGCACCTCTCGGCTCCTCTATTCCTGGATCTACTCCTCTCCGAACCTCTTCGCTCCCCTCGGCTCCCCTCGGCTCCCCTCGGCTCCCCTCGGCTCCTCTGGTCACGGCGCGTCTCTACTCTCGGCTCATCTCGAGCTTCCTCTCGAGCCTCCTCTCTGCTCATATCATCTCGGTACCTCTCGGCTCCTCTCGGCGACGCGCCGCGGTGTGGGGGGGTGGGGGAGGGGTGGGGGAGGGGTGGGGGAGGAGGGGGGGGGGGGGGGGGGCACCCCCCCACAAACCAAAAAACACCCCCCCTGGGAAACGCCCCAAGGGAAACGAAAAGGGGAAACAACCCCAGGGCATTCCCCAATTTGGAATAACCCCTGGCCCAAAGGACCCCCAAAAATTCCTTCCGCTACTCGCCGGGGTGCCAGGGGGCCCCCACTCTAAAAAAGCGGCCCCCAACCGTTGGGGGGGGGCCAACCCCCACCGG